CCTGGATCATCCTTGTGGCCTCCTCTGAACACGCTCCAACAGATCCACGTCCCTCTTATGGTGGGTCCTTACCTCTGAATGCGGATGCTCTGGTCCTGGTGGCCCTGGGTTGCGATCATCACGTCAGCCTCATCCAGGACGAACACTTTGATTTTCTTGGGGTCTATAAATTTCAGTTTGGAACACCAGTCCAGCACGGTGCCGGGCGTGCCGATGACAATCTGCTCAGAGATCTTCTGACCTCTCTCCACTGCCGAGACAGAAAGGAAGGCTTTCATGAGCCAGCCCTGCAGCAGGGGAACGCTCTGCCCCTCTCTGAACCAGCCTCTTGCACCATCTGGCTGCTCAGTTGGTCTCTTGCTGTATCACACCCAACAATTATGTTCTCGTTTGCAGCGTGCTGCGAGCATTCCACCTTACTCACATTTATTGCCTCGGACAGCATATGCAAGTTTCAGTTCCGGATAGAACTTCCCCATCTGTTCAATCACTTTTCCCGTTTGAAGGGCCAGCTCGTACGTTGGGGAAAGGCACAAACACTGGAGGGCCAGAAAGAGATGATCAACAACCTGGGAAACGCTATCACACTCAAAAAACATCATTCCTGAAGTTTTCCCAGACAGACACGCATGCAGCTGAACAGTTTCTGAAAGCCCTTCGATTCTTCATCCTGAAACGAGGGGACTGAGCTGACATGACGTGGTCACGCAGCTCCCGGCTTTCTGTGTCCAGTGCTGCTGCTCAGGCTGGGGAGCGCGGACACGCAGCTGGGGGACATGTATGGCCAGTGTTGACAAAGAACCTGACACCTGCTGTGAGACTGAGAGGTAAGAATGGCAGTTTTTTAAGGAAAAAACTCCAGTCTTGGTAAAACTGCTCAGCTACCTCCTAAGAAAACTGGGTTAAAAAAGCCCCTTCCTGGGCGCTGTCCGCTCTGTTGTCACAGAGATCTTCTCTTCCACCCCAAATTCCACCTCCTCAACCCCCTTTAGCCTGCACTATTTCTCTGATTTAATTTATGGTTTAATTTAAGGAACTCCTCGCCGAGCAATGGCACCCTGAGCAACGCAAGGGAGGGACCGACAGGAACAAGCGCTGAGCAAAACCCCCGTCTTTCATGTCGAAAGGTGTTTCGGCAGATCCCCAAACCCCTGCTGAGCGCCCTGCAGAACCACAGACGCAGAGGCGGGGTCACCAAGCTACGAGTTTACTACCAGAGGTCTCAGCAGACACGCGGCCTCTTCGCTAGGCGGCACCGCACCACCCCGAAAACCCCTCCCACCCCGAAAACCTTCACGCCCTGGAAACTTTTACCTGCGGATACTTGTTCCCAGGTTCAACCCGACTGAGCATGGCCAGGACAAAGGCAGCTGTCTTGCCAGTACCGGACTGAGATTGTGCGATCAGGTTCTGGGGGCTGTGGAAGGGACAACAGACACGAGCTTCACCAAATCGACCAGGCAGCCAACGTAATCCCGGGGCTGATCGGTAACGGAAACTCAGCGAGCGGCATTTTAATGGCTTTTAGGTTTATTGCTGCTTTCGACTGGTGCCTGGCTTGACCAGCTACACTCCACGGGCAGTTTCTGCCCTCTCCCAACTCTCTCTTTCAGCCCCTCTCGATTACAGAGATTTGGAAGGAGAACTGCGATTCCCTGTCCTTCAGTATTTTTCCATTTCGCGCATCTCCCCCTAGTGTCATCAGACTCCGGCTCAGGGGTGTGGAGAGGAAAACCAGCAGCACAGGCAATGCAGCATCCCCGCTGCTCCCATCCTCCCGGGGATTTCTGGAGCTCTGTTCTGTAGCAGCCTCATTTTTTCTGTCCTACACTGACTGGGAAAATCACACCGACCTCAGCGGCACAGCACAACACAGTGTGTTCAGTGCCAGCCTTAGAAAAAGGACAAATCCAGGGCTGCTGTCACATAATTGGAAACACCGTGGCACGGGAACCCTTTCACAGCCAGCTCCTCCATCACCATCCTCCCCTCCAAAGCTCAGGACCAGCACTCTTAAATCTTTCAAATCCTTCCTGTGCTGGAAGGGACTAGAAATTACGGGTACATACGGTTCGGCGAGCATCATGGGCAGGGCGTTCTCTTGTATCTTGGATGGTCTGTTGAAGCCCATGGCATAGACTCCTTGCAGGAGCTGTGGTTTCCTGAAAACAGAGGAGTTTTTATAACTCTTAAAGAACATCTGATTCTCAATAGTGTACAAGAAGGTGGGAAAAAACCCTCACAACTGGACCTAGAGCTGCCTGTTTCTTTGTACCCACCGGAATCACACCGGAATCGCACCTGGAAGCTACAACAAGGGACAGCACAAAGCCTGGAAAGGAGGTTTCTGCAAAGGCCCATCGATGCTGTACGCCGGCCTGCCCGCCCGCTGCATGGCTGTCTATGCAGAAAACCGCGCGTCCTTGCTCCGAGGCCAGCGCCGGGCTGCCTGCTCTAAAGCAGCTTTTCCGACAATCCCAGGAATCCCGGAGCAGAGGGCGTTAATCCCGGCCTTCAGTCCAATCTCTCTACCTCAGCCATGCCAGAATTATCACTCCTTGAAGACTCAACGCGGAGCAAAGCGACCTCAGCACGGTGAAGCGTAACGTCACGAAACCGTCGTTAAGTTGCGATGGATTCACACAAACCAACACCCTAACACCAGAGCGATCCCACCTTGGCGACGGACCAGTAATCCCAGTTCTCTGGGACCACGCCCTGGGATCCCTGGTGACAATCCAACCAGAGCCCAGCCTCCAGCACTCAGCAACTGCTTCTTCTCAAGGGAGCTTTCTAGTCTCAGCAGACCCTTCTACAGACAAGGAGACCCGAGGACAACCTCTAATTCAGGCTACGGAGCGAGCGAGTTCTTCGCCAAGGACCTCCAAGTGCTTCCTGGCGCGCTGGCAGCCGTGCTCAGAAGTAAGGGCTCTCCTTTCAGCCTGGGTTACAGGTTTCCTGCCCCAGTTCCCCAGGGTTAACAACTTTATAAAAACCATACATGGCTTTCAGACGATGGCTGGAACAAAAGCTCTTTTGAAAACGTAACCTTGTGCTGCTCAGAAACAAGGACGAACAAAGCCCAAGTCTGTGACAGTTGCCAAGGATACACAGAGCCCCAACAAAACGAAGGCTCAATTAGTCTGGCTTCCCCCATCCTTAACTCACAATCGGGAATTAGTACAACAGGCACTACAGAACCTCAGCTTTTTCATTTTTCTTGGTAGACACTCAACCAGTGAAACGACATCCTGACATTTCACGGCAAGAATGTCTCGCGGGCTCCAATTTTCCCTGTGGAGCTTGCAAAAGAGCAACAAACCCGAGCTCAGCAATGTAACCAACAACAACCCCAACAGGGCAGCTTCTTTCACATGTTAAAA